CTGGCGGGCGCGTTTCTTTGGCCCGCCTGCGCCCTTCATGGGCCCGCCTTCTGGCGCACAGTCTTCACGTGGACCTTGTTTTTGCCCGTCCACTCCCGGCGGTTGGCGCTGTTCCCAACCATCAACCATCCTGTGGTGTGAGGTCCAAGTTTTGAAAAGACAGTGCCCAACGTCTCCTCTCCTCCTATCCTCCTCCTCCCCTCTCCTCCCATCCTTGCCTCTGCCCTCCGCATGTCAAGCATTTCGACACAACCCTCACACGTTTCGTGGCCCCATAGGGAGCTCCACCAATGGCCGAGTGGCGTAGCCCGCATGCGTCCGCCACACGCATTTCGGCACACCCCTCACACGCTTCGTGGCCCCATAGGGAGCTCCACCGAAGGTCCCAGTGGCGCAGCCCGCATGCGTCCGTCCCTCCAAAAAAAGGAGGTCCCAGTGGCGCAGCCCGCATGCGTCCGCCCCACCCATGCTGGCACACCCCTCACACGCTTCGTGGAGCCATAGGAAGCTCCACCCGAGGTGTTCGGCACACCCCTCGCACGTTTCGTGGCCCCGTAGAGAGCTCCACCGAAGGTCCCAAATGGCGCAGGCCGCATGCGTCCGCCCCACCCATTTCGGCACACCCCTCGCACGTTTCGTGGCCCCGAGGAAGCTCCACCGAAGGTCCCAGTGGAGCAACCCGCATGCGTCCGCCCCTCCCATACCAGCACACCCCTCATTCGTTTCTTTGTCATATAGGAAGCTGCACCCAAGGTCCCAGTGGCGCAGCCCGCATGCGTCCGCCCCACCGATTTCGGCACACCCCTCACACGTTTCGTGGCCCCATAGGGAGCTCCACAAGGCCCCAATGGCGCAGCCCGCACGCGTCTGCCCCACCCATTTCGGCACACCCCTCACACGCCACGTGGCCCCATAGGGAGACCCACCGAAGGTCCCAGTGGCGCAGACCGCATACGTCCGCCCCGCTAATTTCGGCACGTACACATTACTCCGACGGAAAGACCCACATGATAATATGTTTAGTTTGCCTGAGGGACTCTTCTTGCCCCCTCCTCCTACATCCTTCTGCCTCCTCCTCCTCATCCTCCTCCTCCTCCTCATCATCATCATCATCATCATCATCATCAGCATCATCATCATCATCATCATCATCATCATCATCATCAGCATCATCAGCAGCAGCATCATCAGCATCACCATCAGCGTCACCACCACCACCACCACCATCATGATCATCATCATCAGCAGCAGCAGCATCATCACCATTATCACCATCACCATCACCATCACCATCATCATCATCATCACCATCAGCGTCATCAGCATCATCATCATCATCATCATCATCATCATCATCATCATCATCATCATCATCGTCATCATCATCATCATCATCATCATCATCATCATCATCAGCATCATGATCATGATCATCATCATCAGCATCATCAACAACATCAGCATCAGCATCATCATCAGCATCAGCATCATCATCATCAGCATCATCATCAGCATCATCATGACCATCATCAGTATCATCATCGGCATCATCATCAGCAGCATCATCATCATTAGCATCAGCATCACCAGCTGCTGCTGCATCAGCATCAGCAGCATCCGCAGCATCAGCATCATCACCATCACCATCATCAATACCAACAAACTCGTCAGTATCAACATCATCATCATCACCATCATCATCAGCATCATCAGCATCAGCAACATCAGCATCACCATCATCAACAACATAATCAGCTCCACAATCAGTAGCACAATCATCGTCAGCATCCGCATAACCATCATCATCACCATCAGCAACACAATCACCAGCATCATCAGCAGCCTCATCAGCATCATCATCAGCATCATCATCAACCTCATCATCAGCATCATCAGCAGCATCATCAACAGCATCGTCATCGTCATCATAAGTATCATCACCAGCAGCAGCATCATCAACAGCATCATCAGCATCATCAGCATCAGCCTCATCACCATCATCATCACCACCAGCAGCAGCAGCATCATCAGCATCATCAATATCTTGCCTCATCCTCCAGCCTCCACCTCGTTCTGCCTCCTCCGCATCCTCATCATGCCTCCTCCTCCCTCCTGCCTCCTGCCTCCTGCCTCCTGTCTCCTGCCTCCTCCTGACTGGGACATCCTCACGGTTTGTCCCATTAGAGTGCTCAAATGCTATGCCTGGTAGGATTTGCCTATGGCCCGCTCGGATTACCAACATGACGTGCGGGCCCCATAGGGAGGGGGCTCCCGCCTGAGACTCCTTGCAATTCAGTCACAGGCGAGGGCGAATTCCCTCCTTGGGGCGCCCGAGGAATATGCCTGGTATAGTTTGTCCATGACCCAGTCGGATTACCAACATGAAATGCGGGCCCCGAAGGGAGGGGGCTCCCGCCTGCAACTTCCTCAAAATTCACACAGACGATGCCCCCGCTTGAAATTACATCACGAATTGCCACCGTGGGGTGCTCAAGTGCTATGCCTGGTACTGTTTACCAAGGACCCAGTCGGATTACCAACACGAAGTGCAGACCCCAACAGGGAGGGGGCTCATGCCTGGGACTTCTTCGCGATTCACGCACAGACGAGGCCACCACCTGAGACATCCTGACGAGTTGCCTCCTTGGAGTGCTCAAATGATAGTCCTGGAATAGTTTACCGATGACCCGCTCGGATTACCAACATGAAGTGTGGGCACAGGGCGGGGGCTCACGCCTGAGACTTCCTTGCAATTCACTCACAGACGAGGTCCCCGCTTGAGACATCCTCACGATGTGCCCCCTTGGGGTCCTCAAATGCGATGCCTTGAAAAAGCTGCCGATGACCCGCTGGGATTGCCAACATGAATGCGGGCCCCATAGGGAGGGGGCTCCGCTCGAGACTTCCCCCAAGGTGAGTCGGTGAGTGTATGTGATGATGATTAGCGATAAGTGACGATGAGTGATGCTGGTGGTGCTGGTGATGATAATGATGATGATGATGATGGTGATGATGCTGGTGATGATGATGAGTGATGGTGATGATGGTGATGATGACGACGATGACGATGGTGACGATGACGATGATAACGATGATGATGACGACGATGACAATGACGATGACGATGAGGATGAGGATGAGGAGGACGATGATGATTATGACGACGATAACGATGAGGATGACAGTGATGATGATGATGATGATGCTGATGATGCTGTTGCTGTTGCTGATGATGATGATGATGATGATGATGATGATGATGATGATGACTGGAGATGAAAAGTGAGTGTGCGAGTGTGAGTGGAATTGAGTGCGAGTGAGTGCGCGAGTGTGCGTGGGATGATCATGAAGAAGATGTGGGCGACGTTGCCAAGTATGATGATTGTGATGGTAATGGTGATGCGGAACAGAAGGGTGTGGATGAGGACTGCGCGGGGTGTCCGGAGAAAACAGCAATCCCACTTTGAATGTGGGTTGAAACAGAGCCCCGCCTTAGCCGAAGCGGTCCTTACCTCAACGTCTTAACTCTAGAACCATCGCGCTCGCTCCGCGCGCGCTCAAGCTCTAGCACCTGCAAGACCCGTGCGTCGCGGCGAGCTCGAATACATACAACGCGCCCTCCGGGCTGCATCGGGGCTCTGTCGGGGCCTGTTTGGGCTTCTGTTGGGGGTCTCTTGGGCTGCCTGGGACTTTTGAAGGGTCTCTGGGGGTTGTCGGGAAGACGGCCCCAAAGGCTCTCCATAGCGCCCCAACAGCGTCCTCAGCTGGCTCAGAGAAGTGGACTGAAAGGCTCCAAGCAGGAAGCAGGGGCCTCAATTTAGAACCAGCTCTTGTTGAACCGATGTCCTCCAGGGTGCTTCCAACAGGACCCCACCAAAAGCGCCAAGAGGTCCTCAAATGCTCGCATAACGTGCCAGCCAAGAGGTCCCAAATACGCCCCCAGAAGGCCAATAGGGGACGCCCAAGAGGGCCTCCACTGGAAAACCCATGTGCTTGAAGCATTATTGCGTTCTCGCAGTTCCGAGCTTCAGGACGCCCAAGCCGAGAGACACCCAAGATCGCCCCAAGACGGCCGTAGAGACCCCAGGAGGCCCCAATAGGCTCCCCCAGATGGCCCCAGGACGGCCCAAGAAGGCCCCAAGACGGCAGAAGAGACCCCCAACAGGGCCTCAAGAAAACCGCAGCAGAGGAGGAAACCGAAGCGGCCTTGGGAGACCCTCTCTCCCCGAAGTGGCTCAAGAGGACCCTAGGCCCCCCAGGCGCCTCCGAGAGGCCCGAAGAGGCCTCCCAGAAGCCCCCAAAGGGCCACAGGGAGGCCCCGAGAGGCCCCCGAGAGGCCCCTAGAGGCTCCCTAGCAGGCCCCCAAGACGGCAGAGTATGCCACGACAGACCCGCACGGCAGACGAGCAAAGCCAAGCAGCCCACACCCAGACTTCGTGCGAGCGCTGAACGTGCTCTCCGCGAAGCGAGAGGCATCCTCTTCGTCCCCCTCCTCCTCCTTTTCATCCTCCTCCTCCTCCTCCTCTTCCTCCTCTTCCTCTTCCTCCTCCTCCTCCATTTTCTTGCCTATCCGGGGAGGTGGAGGGGGAGCGGGGGTAGATGATGGGGGAGGTACGAGAGCGCCAAATATCGGCCACCATGCCTCTGGGCACAGAGTGGGCGCGTCCTCAGGTACAGCCAACCCATATAACAAGGAAACGCGATAAGGACGCAAGGGCCTTGGAGGGCCATGTCGACATTTTGCGAGCGGAGCGCGGTCAGCGAACGCGACCAAGGATGGGCCGCATGGGAAGGATACAAAGGTAACCTTGGGAAATCGATCATCATTACCGTGCGGGTTTACTGTACCTTGCCTCATCCCCCGAGCCTCTCAGCCGCCAATGCTGCGGAATCAACCAGGGACCCAGATGCCAAGTTCTCAAAACCGTCGGGGCTTGGCGCGGTTCCCCTGGGGATTGCCTCGGCTTCCCACTTGGCTCGTTCGGGCCCAGGACGACCCC